TATGAAATGGTGGGCAATTTCTTGATATTAAAGCTATCACATTTATCTTAATATACTATCCTATCTTCTATTAAACTGTCTTAACATAGAGAAAAAGTCATAATTATATTAAACTTTCAACAACAATCATCAAAAGAAATCACCTTTCTGCACATTATGAATATTAATTAGCACACAATTTGACGATTAACAAGATCCTATAATCTCTAATATAACACAGCATTGCAAATTACGTGTGGAGGAAGTTGAAGTAGGAATTGGTTCTCTCTCTAGATCTAGTATAACACAGAATCACAAAAAGAATCTAAATCTTCTTCTTTTTCATGATCAAGTGTTAATTTTATTGCATAATTTTTTGATGAATCAGATGAGGAGGCCTTCGATCAGCTCCATGCCATCAGAACCTAAAGTCCAAGAAGTCCATGTCCAATCCCACCGAGCATGACGAGGAGACTTCATCCAGAACGGTATCAAAGTAGATGCCACAAATATCTGACAAGCTTGGTTGTGGTGGTTCCATGGAATCAGCCTCTGACTCCACCTTGCTCGATGAAATGCCCATAGTGGTTCCTTCGACGACGCTTCTTCTCATACTATTCATGTGCGAGGGGAGGCGCTTGCTGTGATCCAAGGAATCAAAGCGAAGCAGACACGGCTCGACCGGAGGAGTTACTGCTGTACCGTGAGCAGAGCGCTGCTCATCGCAGTCCTGCACCTGCATGACTGCACCATAAGCTGATGTTGGGAAGTCCTGCACCATAAGCTGAGCATCCTCAGCCGTAGAAGACCACGATGGTGTGCATGTGTGTTCTCCCTTGTAGACGACAAGGAACAAAGATGGGGCGCCAGAGTCTTGTTGTTGCACCAGCTTCTTTGCGTTGCATCTTTGATCATGGCTGTAGGTGCACCGGTAGTAGTTCCTGCCAAATTGTCATACAAGTCGAGTAAGACGAAGAAAAGAGCCATGCTTAAACAGTAGAGAATTCTGTATTTAATTGATTAGGTACCGAAGGAAATATAAAACAAGGTTATCGAGGTTCCTTCTCCGAATGAGCCGGAGAAGAAGATCTAAAGTATTTCTTCTGATTCCTTGGCAATTTCATGATGAACTTTGATATATATATATATGTTGAAGAAACTCTATCCTCTCCACACATGAAGAAACACAAAATTTATGCAACAGAGGAAAAAGGAAAAGGTAGCACACAGAAGTATATGACTTCAATTATGATATCATATGCATTTATACAAAATAAGAAACAAGTCTTAAAAAGCGGGTTCTGATGATTTGCAAAATCCCAAGAAAGCTGAATTGATAGTTGAACATATAGCATACAAAGATGCAAGATTTGATCCCGAAAGCACATCATAAGTCAATAGCAATCCTTCCTTTGCTTGAAAATAATAAGACAAATTGAAGTGTGATTACAGTCATCCGAATCTAATTAGCTAGCTAGAGATGATGACTACTTGTTTCAACTACAGCAGCGATTACAAGTGGTAAGTAATGATAGCAAACCTTTTGAAGGTGCAGCCTTTTATATTCTTTTCCCCGTATTTTCTCCATTGGTAACCATCATTATAAGGTGTAGCTGTTATTTCTTCTCGTTCGTAGCTGTTTAAAGGACAGACATCACACAAAGCATATGAAATAACATTTATTTCTTCTCCTTCAGTATATTTGTTATCTACTCTCTTACCTTCTCGGATCTCTTCGCGGTGGAACATGAAGCGCAGCCAGATCTCGACTTGCAATCTCAATCGCCGCGCTGTTTCTCTGTGGTACCGCAATAGCCCCACCGGAGTTTAACATGGAGCGGGTAGCGCTGCAGGACTGCAGTATCTCCTCTAAGATGACCAGGGCCGACTCCTTCTCCGTATCACTGCAGTCGACGAGCTCGACGAGGGACTGAAGCTTGGCTGTCCGATCGAACGCTTGTTCCATCTCTTGGATCACAGAGTCAATGATCTTATTCTCCATGAGCTGTTTCTTCTCCGGTCTCTTCAACTCCACCAAAGGTTGCCTGCATCTCAGATCGAGCATCTCTCCATACATAAATATAGATAAGATCCAGAAGATCTATAGAAAACTTAAAAGTCTAAATTTTCGTCTAGAGATCAGTCCATAAGATACGGACGCATTCTGTTAATTTATTGCCCTCGAGAAGAAAAAGAAATACTCTGATCCTTTATATGAGTATCTTATTCCCACATGATGTGGTTTCCCAGCCATTTTGGCAGTCTCTGCGAGCCTTCATTTGGGTCTTACATGATGCTGTTTCCTGTCAAAGATGACCAAGTCAGTCATACATGACAAAACCTAATTTTCACACTTGTGTACATGTATCCATCGTGGTAGCATTCCACCTTCATTTAATGCTTAAGAAGCAATTTATTTCTGCATATTTTTCTTTTGCCATTCACATGTTTCTACAAGACACTGACAGCTCCCAGCGAGTAAACTTATATTATGCTAAAGAAACAAAGCGTGCCTCAAACAGGGAGGAGAAACATTAATTCTGGCTTAACGAGAGACAGAAGCAAGGCAGTGACAGAACAAATGAGCATTTCATATTACATTTCCTCCGAACTAAGCATCTGCTGCCATCCCCTCGTATGCACTTCATATGTCGAAGTATCCCAAGAAAACAAATTCACATGATGTTATGGTGTTAATCTTCTCAAATAACAGCTGGGTTTACGTACGGGAAGTCAAACTGGATGAATAGATTACGTACCATAAAGTATTTTGATGACTTGAGGTGCGCGGCCAAATAATGTATGTAATAGGTGCAGAAGCAAACGTAACTGAACTATGGTTCTTTAGGCTTGCTGAAGGAATGACACTATTGTCAAGGATAATGTTAATAGAGTTTAATTAATGTTAAAGATGTTAAGATATGAGTTTAATTGATCTATGATGCCTAATTTATACTTGAGCCAAGATAATTTATATGTGAAAATTTTAGGCTTTCTTCATAGAAAAAAATAATTGAATCATATTAAATCATACGTTAATTTTTTGATATATTATTTATTTATTAATCTATGATAAATTTCTCTTTTCATTTTGAAATTATTCTTTTTCTTTTTTTTTTGTTTTTTAATTCCTTATCAGTTTCTAACCTTGAGACATATATGGTTGTTAGGTACCTTGATGTCGTGGCCTAGGGATTGGTATAACTCGATTCTATCCCAAAAATGTAAGGTTGTTTATACAGATTCTTAGGCAAGGAGGCCGGAGAGATCAGGTCGAGCCGGGGGGTTGGCTCTCGAGCGTCTATTGCATCATCATGAGTGACCCAAGGTGGAGCTTGATCGGCTTCGTCCACACCAAGAGGCAAGATCACAAGTTGACACCGGGAAAGGAAATTCCCGACTTGACCCCTCTAATAGTTAGGATAGCTGGTGGCTTTATTGGTGAAAAAAAAATCGATCTCCTTCCTCAAGCTAGCGGGTCATTGATGACAGTCGATGCTTCATTATGCAAGTGGTAGTTCCGTATGTCGCCACACGGCACAGGTCGACCCGTCCAATCCCCCATCATGCGGCATCAACCCGTATAGTGTCGAGTAGCACGGAGTCGATCGCACGTCCGCTAAGTTCACTATGCTTCCTCCAGAGATGTGCTAGGCACATGCTGAATGTTGGCTCCTCGATGGCTATCAACTGTCATCGCTCGAGTGATGTCGAAATATTTCCTATCAATGGCTATCTTAGAAGCTAATGTGTGCTGGCTGCATTGGGTGTTCATGCCGCTCTCTGTATATATGGGAGTTAATTGCGCCATGGGTAGGTGCAAGAGTGAAAGTAGAATGGAGTAAATAAATCAGTAGCAGGTGAAGAAGAGGATAAGCTATGGTTGGAGTAATCTCCGATGATGCAGGTGCGAGGGAATACACACTAGTGTGAAGGCGTTTCTTAGACCCAGAGTTCATGGGGGACAAGAACGAACAAGTTCACATGCCACACCCATTGAACGCTGCATTGGCCATTCTTAACTTGCATGGAAGATGGTGTGGAAACTGCGAGTGTTTGAACGAAGACCAGCGTTTACTATATTTTCGTTTTGTCCTCGTTATCGTCAACCTAATCATGGCATCACTTCTATCGACCTTTTACCAGCAGATTGGGCAAACAACTTTTGTGAGTCTAATGGAGATGTTTCGGTTCAGACAAGATGGTGAAGTAGTACCAATATAAAATACTAATCGGATTTGATGTACCAGCCTCTCAATCTGATAAAAACAGCATAATTGATATAAGTTTTATGTTATTTTACATTGGATGAATTTTGAAAAAAAATAAATCTTTTTATTTATTCTCGAAAAGTATTTTTATTTTTAGATTTTTAATAATACCTTTTTTAATCTAATAATTAATTTTTTTCTTTTCTTATATTATAGTATTTTTAATAATATAAGAAATATATTATAATATAATGTAAAAATAAAATAACATAGTAATTTTTACATTTTTTTTATAAAAATATTATAAGCATAGTGTTTTTTATACTGTGTTATAGTATTTTTAACAAAAATAAAAAAATACTTTAACATAATACAAAGATACTATAATAAATATATTTTAGTATTAATAAAGATATTATAATATAATATAAAAAATATTATTAGAGAATTTCTAAAAATAAGATATTTTTTGACAAAAATCTAAAAGAGACCTTTTTTTTTGTCTGTAATTATTTTTCACCTTTTCATGACCAGCAAAGCCAATAAAACATAAACTGGCTATCTTAATTTTGAGTTTAGTCTTAATCTAAACTTCACTCTTCTTCTCTATGTTATTTGAGAAGAGCAGTCATTATCTGTAATTTCACCTATCTTCTACTTTATTCTAGTAATGGATATTATCTTTGAGATCTTTCTACTCCTTGGACTATAATTTAATCGAATGATCAATAATGTAAAAAACCTAAGCTTTCACGAGAGAGAGAGAGAGAGAGAGAGAGAGAGAGAGAGAGAAAGAGAGGCTCCAATATATTTATAGAATCTTTAATACCCTTTGATCTTCTTTTCTTTCGATGATTTGCATCAATCTTCTATTTTCTCTCAATCTTCTATTTTCTCTCAACCTATACATTGATAGATTCAAGCATCATCTTTCACTTGCCAACATTAGAAAAGCAGACAATTTAGAAGATCATTATCTTCGATTCAACACCAGATATTGAACTATGTCTTGATTTTCTCCTCATGCTAACATCCTAAATTTATTGCAGAACCTATCGATCGATTAGACGAGGCTGGTGCTTCTCCTAATACCTACAAAAACTAGTACTCTTTGTCATCAAAATCGAATACTGAGAAATCCATGTCCAACGCAACTGAGCTCAATGAATCGATGCCGCCGATCGCCGAGGAGCTCTCCATAGATTCATGGAATGTGGGATCTGCTGATTCCAGCTTCCCCGACGATGTCTGAACCATATCTTTCCTCACATAACTCTTATTCTCTTCCATCTTATAATGATCTCCTGAATCAAAACGCAGCAGGAATGGCTCGACTGTGATATGAGAAGCCGAAGGCTTGACTGTGTCATCGTCATCAGTTCTCGAGGAGGAAGTTTTGCACCTGTGTCGTCCTGCGTGAGTGACGAGAAACAACGATGGGGTCTGTCGTTGCACTTGCATTTTCGCTGTGCATCCTTGATCCTCGCTGTAAGTGCACCTGTAGTAGCTCCTGTAACGTGGGCATGCAAAGACGGTAAAGACTAATAATAGATTATAGAGTAAATAAAGTAGGGATGTTTATAAAGATAAATCTTCCAAAGAGTCGACCATTCAAACTCATCAAAAACTTCACCTATACGTACTCAAACACTAAACAATATTCAAATCCAATTATCTAATTCACCATTATCAATATAAGGATCGTCCGTGACAATATTCTATTCATATCATCTCATTTTGGACCTCAGATACCTTTAAGTCTGATGTACAACACCAATGGAATCATGATACCAATACTACAATGAGTTCAATTAGTGTAGGGGATTTTTCCAAAGCCCATCAGGATTTGGCCCACTTATTTTCTCAGAATCCTTATTTTATTTACCAAAAAAAGAAGAAGAAGATGAAATTAAGAAAATAAACAAAAAAAAGAGATAGATTAAATTTCTCTATTATATATACCTTCGGAAAAGAAAGAAAAAGAGTCTCAAGTTCATACACATGCGTACATACTTTGTCCCTAGTCGTAGATAATTTAAACTAAAAGAAAAAGAAGTTTCTTATTCGCGATTCTTGTTTACCATTCACAATCCTTGTTGCTATTATTGATAACTCTTTAAAAAATAATAAAATATTATTTTACTATTTATAATCCTAATATTATCAATTTTATCTTTTTTTTTTCCTCGTAACCCCTTATTTCATCTTGCTCTTTATCGGTCTTGTTGACGCCTTCCTTTTGAGGAGAAAGAGGAGGAAGAAAATGATATTTAGGTTCGTCTAATTTACAAAAGATAATTAAAAAATATTTAAAAAGATTAAAATAAGATTTAATAGAAAGAGAAAGTTACAAATAACAATCTCGAAGAAAGAAAAAAAACGACAGCTTTAATAACCCTATTTATAAGGCTAAAATAAGATTCCTATTTATGACCACAACCTCGAACACACAGTTACTGTCACGATCGTGGAAAGAAACACAACAAACCAACCTGCTAAAGATGCAGCCAGTGATCTTCTTTTCCCCGTACTTTCTCCACTGGTGATCATGATCAAAAGGTGTTGCTGTGATTTCTCTTCGAACAGAGCTGTCGATACGATAAACAAACAAAAAGCCTTCTTTCACATACGCATGCATGCTTGCCTGTGGAGAAATTATACAAGTGATGGAATCGATTGCAGAACTTACAGGCTTCTTCGATCGACTCGGATCGGGACATCAAGCGAAGCCATGCGTTTCTTCTGTGGTTTGACATCCTTCTTCCGAGACCTCACTATCTGCTGTAGATCATCCTCGAGGACCCTCACGAGTTCTTTCAGCCTATCACTGCAGCTGCCAAGCTCGATGAGGGACTGAAGCTTTTTAGTGAGATCGAACGCGTGCTCCATCTCTTGGATCACCGAGTCGATGATGAGCGAATTTTCCATTGTCCGAAAATTGTCTAGATTTAGGATATGGCATCTCTCTCTCTCTCTCTCTCTCCCTCTCTATATATACATATAGATAGATAGATGTAGATTTTGGTCTAGAATGGCTATCGAGGAGACTAATGGGAAGCTTCCGCTACAAAGGTAAACTATTCCGATATTATATGATACCTATACTTGGTGTAATAGCAGTATCTACACGACTTTGTTTAGGTCTTATATGATATTTCCTGTAAAATGTGACCAAGTCAATCTCACGTGGAACGATGTAACATGGAACTCATCACAGAAACCGTGAGAGCAATGTAAGGACTAAATTGAAATTGAGGAAGTTTTAGTTCAGTTAAGAGCATAGGATTAATCACACCAACACATGAAAATTACCTGTACAATGAAAGCCTCGTGTCTTGCAAAGAGAGCATCTTTGCAAGGAGAAGTGCGATAATCCGACAGAAGTACTGCTATCGACACAAACAGTAAAGATTTGGATATGACGTTTCTTGGAAGAATGATTCTGTGGATTAACTATGCTTTCAGACTTGTCAAGCATGATTCAGCCTGATAGTGAGGTAGGTATCCAAGACACTGTTCCACACGAAGGACGCATTATGGTCATGTGAAATCTGCAGCGTTGAAAGTTGATAGCTTTTGTCCTTATTATCGTCATCGCCATGACAGCACCATTGGCGACGTCACTTGTGTGATGGATGTCACGACGGCAGCATGCGTAGCAGCCACATTAAATAAGAAATAGTGGGAGGCTATAACGAGGAAATTGGGTTCAGCTAGCCATGTGTAGAAAGTCGATGCTTAGTCAACATTGTATAGTATAAAGATAGAGCAAAGGGATACGAGGACGAATGGCCGAGGCACGTACGTCCTCAAGAACGAGATTTGGCCAAAAAAACAATCATTAAACTCTTAAGGCACCTGTTTATGGTCCATATTCTATTCCCCTTCATATAATATATATACTAAGAGATGAACATGGACGAGGAACAGCGAAGGAGACAAAGGGATGTCGAACGCACATGTCCCGACTCATTGACCGTGGAAACCGGTGATAAAGAAGACGCAATCAATGAACGAGCGAGGGAAGCATCCATGGAAGGTGGCGTTGCCTTCGTCTTGCTTTGTCATTACGAGCCTCGTCATCGTTTCTGCCGTGGTTGCCGTCATCCTTGTCGTCGTCATCATCACGTCCTCCTTCTTCGACGTTTCCCCGCTGCAACACTGCCTGTGGGCCATGGGAAGGAGGACTAATGGGAATTTGTCATGTGATTGTGTATATTTAAATATTCATGAGTTTTTGATGGATTTGATTGCTTGTGCATAAATTATTCCTAAGAATTTATAATTGATTGCTTGTAGATTTATATATCACATATAATATTATCTTGAATTCTATTTTTTTTTTTATATAACTACTCTCTTGCTAACCCCTACAGCTTTTTAGTGAATAAATTCAGAATAGACATGAGAGATCATTTTATAAAATTTTTTACTATTGCACTGAAACTCATAGTTTAATATAGGAGATAGTTTACGAGCCTCTTCTAATGTTTAGATATAATCATGCAACAGTGAATCAGGAGAGTATGATGCAACTATGAATAGAGTCATAATGTTCGAAGCATGATGTCATGTTAGTCAAGTAGTGATTAGGTGACAGCCATAGAACAAGGGGGTGTCAGGCATGTGGTAGTGAGGTATTAATTATATTACGATAAAGTGTTAATTATGTTCCGATGGGTATCAATCATGTGATAGTCAGGTGTCAATCACGTGATAATGTAATATAGACAGTCATATATCCTTTGAGTACGTCTCTAATTTTCAATTTGCCCCCTTTCACCAATATAGAAATATGATTAGCTTTTATATCTTTAGACATGGGCAAAAGCTTTAGCCTCGATAGATTTACTACTGAATGCTACTAGTACTATTGGGATATTATGTGGGATTCGATGTTTCAAGCTTTCCAACACTTACATTCTAATGCTAACTTCCTAAGGATTAGACTAAAAAATTTCTTGATTTTATCCTTAAATGCAAAAATCCTTTCATCTGCCCATCTCATTGTGTAATATAAACTATAGGGTTCTTGCCAAACTCCTTGCTAGTAGAATTGAGATTTTGTTGAACTATTTGATCTCCTTTAAATAGTTGACTTTTGTGGTTGGACATAATATTCATGACAATATCTTAATTTCCTAAGCGATGATCAATTTTTTTATTCAATTCTAGGGGTAAGGACCTGTATATGATGATCAAAATGGTTATTGAAAAAATCTATGATCATGGATTGAAGAGTGTCTTACTTATCCCCAATGTGCTTCTTGCACTAATGACACTCAATCTAATTGTAGTGTTGGTCTAGATGATCCCCTCTTCCCATACTTATTTATTATTGTTGTCTAAATCCTGTTATTTGTTAGCAAAGGCACAAAATCTTAAGAATTTTATAATATTTAATATTAAAAATAGGATTAGAATCCCACATCTTATGTATGCTAATGATGTTCTTCTTGTGTTTGGTGATAATCCCAAATCATATATGACTACAAGACCTTTAAACAATTTGAAGATCTTACTAATCTCATAGTCAACCCCCTCAAATATGCTATTTACTTCTCTAGAAAACGTAAAATCTGTAATTTATTTAATATTAAGGAGGGTAACTTCTCTCCCAAGTATCTTGGTACACAAATCGTTTGCTCTTCGTAGATATCTAATCTCAGCCTTTAATAAGGTTACCCAAAATAAGCAAGAAGTTCGTCACAGTATGTCACAAGTGTCATCACTCACGTGATTGACTTGTAGGGTACTTATAATTAACAATCTCCCATTTAACTTAAAGCTAATCACTTACATGTCTGATCCCCATCAAATCTCGGTGATGCTCAAATATAATATGAGTCAATGGCTTCGTCAGTGGATCTGCAATGTTATCTTTAGATGTAACTCTTTCCACTACTACATCTCCACGGGTCACGATTTCTATAATAAGTTGGAAACTCCTCAAAACTCTTATGATGAGACCTGGCATCTCCACGGGTCACGATTTCTATAATAAGTTGGAAACTCCTCAAAACTCTTCTGATGAGACCTGGGTTCTTTTGTATGAGAGATCACTCCGTTGTTGTCGCAATATAAGGGAATCAGTTCCATGCTACTCGACATGACTCCTAGATCCATAATGAAATTTTTTTATCCAGACCTTCTCTTTTGTTGCTTCTGTCGTAAGAATATATTTTGCCACTGTGGTCAAGTCGGTAGTAGTGTCTTGCTTGGAACTTTTCCAGCTCATTGTTGCTCCATTCAAGGTAAACACATATCCTGAATTTGACTTACAATCATCGACATCGAATTAGAAACTTGAGTCCATGTAGCCCTCGACCTATATCTCCTCCGTATATTAGCAAAAGATCCTTAGTCATTCTAAAGTCTGTAAGGATACACTTTATTTCTTTCTCGTGCTCCAAGCCTGAATCTGCCTGATACCTACTTGTGATACTCAAAGCATACGCTATATCAGGCTTAGTACATAGCAAGCATACATGATAAACCCTATCATAGAGGCAGAGGATATTCTATCCATGTTTGCCCTTTCTTTAATAATTTTTAGAGACGTATTCCGAGAAAGTGAAATTTTATGTCTCATCGGTATGAGACCTCTTTTGGAATTTTTCATACCAAACATTTTGACAATGGTGTCTATGTGCTTGGACTAGGATAAGATAAGCATCCTCTTGAATCTATCTCTATAGATATGAATATCCAAAATATATGATGCTTTCCCTAAGTCCTTCATAGAGAAGTGTCTAGATAGCCAAGCCTTTACCGTGGATAGCATTCCTACATCATTCCCAATGATTAGGATGTCGTTCACAATAACACAAAGAAGGTGATAGTGCTCCCACTTACCTTCCTGTACACACAAGGCTCATCTTTGTTCTTAACGAAGTTATAAGATTTGATAGTCTCATCAAATCTTATGTTTTAACTTTGGAAAGCCTACTTTAGTCCATAAATAGACTTAAGTAACCTGCATACCTTATTTGGACTATACTTAGACACGAATCCCTCAAGCTATATCATATACATCTCATTCTTAAGGTTGTCATTGAGGAACGTAATTTTTACATCCATCTGCCAGATCTCATAGTCATAAGGTACTATAATAGCCAACAGAATTCGGATGGATTTCAGCATAGCTATGGGTGTGAAAGTTTCATCATAGTCAATACTTTACTTTTAACGATACCCCTTAGCCACTAGCCTTGCCTTTGATGATACCCCTTAGCCACTAGCCTTGCCTTATAGGTCTTCACTTTTTCATCTACTATGATATTCTTCTTGAAGATCCATTTGTAACCGATGGGTATGATACCATCAAGTGCATCAATAAGGTTCCAAACCTTATTGGAGTATATAGATTTAATATCAAAATTCATGGCTTCTTGTCACTTCCTGGAGTCTATGCTCATAATTATTAGAACTGAAATCGACACTAAGAGGGGGG